GGAGACTTGCCTGCTGGCCCAGTCCCAGCTGCCCTCATCCATTGTCCAGATGTTGCTCATCTTGCAGGTAAGGCCACAGTAGAGACATGACCTCAAGGCCAAGGGAAGAAAAGAGGGAGATTGCCACTGTGAGATGAGGGGGAAAGGGCACCCTTCTCTCTTCTCCTGTTCTGTCAGGGAGTCACAAGTTAAAGTAACAATAACTCACTGCAGCCTAACTCAAGCCAGACTAGGAACTCTCTGGAAGATTCCCAGGGCAGATGGGCTTCCTAAAGGACTGCAACCAGAAGGGAGACCGTTTCAAGCCACAAAGCCACCAGCCTTTCTCCGCTTATTGGTCTCTACTTTCATCTGGTCTGCTTTGGTTCCGCCTGACGCTGCCTCTCTCAGCCTGGCCTGGTCTCTCTTGGACTTGGTCTCTCTCTCTTTCTCTCTCTCTCTGCAGAATTGCGTTCAGTGCTTTGATTTGCACCTAATCAAACATGGCATCTCATAGCTCGTGTATTTCCACCAAGAGATGACCCCACATGGTTGCCTAGTATCTCTTCATCCTGATTCTAAATCAACAATAGGAAGACGAGCTAACGTTTACTGGTTCCTGCCAGGCATGGACCAAAGACTTGACGTGTGTTGCTTTCTGAATCAAATAATCCAAACGACCACATGATGAGGTGGGCACTGTTGTTCCCATTTTGCAGGCGAGGAAACTGAAACTCAGGAAGCTTATGTGCTTGCCCGAAGTCCCTCAGCAAGAAGTAGTAAGATTCAGAACTAGGTACACTCAAGGGGAGCACCTTGATTGGTCCAGCTTAGTGGGCACTGTTGTTCCCATTTTGCTGGCGAGGAAACTGAAACCCAGGAAGCTTATGTGCTTGTCCCTCAGCAAGAAGTAGTAAGATTCAGAACTATGTACACTCAAGGGGAGCACCTTGATTGGTCCAGCTTAGCCTACATGACTCCCCTCTGTCCAATCGGCTGTGACCAGGAATGGGATCAAGGAGTGTAAACATGGCCTCAGTGATCCCAATCCAGTGGATGCAGGTACACAATTCTCGAGAAACAGGGCTCGTTGGGTAGGGACACTCCCATAAGGAGGCTGCTACACATCCCTCACCTCTGTTCCAAGTTCAGATCCCGCAGTATCAGCTGTGAGCTTGTCGCCAGCTTGTCAGGGAAGACCCTTCCATCCTTGATCAGGCTGGTGGTGACCCCAGGCTGCCCTCTCAGCAACGGGGAGGGGTAGGGGGGGAATGTCAGGCTTGGGCCCTGGTCTCTCCCTCCCCCAGCTGCCGTTCTCTTCCTGTTTTCTAGTTAGACCCTCCGTCTGGGCATTCTCCCGCTTTCCTGAAACCAGAGCAGAGGAAGAGTTGCCTAAGAGGATGAGAGTGGGTGTAATTGGCTGGAATGCCAGGTCAAGTATTTTTATGGCAGGGAAGGAGTGTTGGGGGGAATGTCAGGCTTGGGCCCTGGTCTCTCCCTCCCGCAGCTGCCGTTCTCTTCCTGTTTTCTAGTTAGACCCTCCGTCTGGGCATTCTCCCGCTTTCCTGAAACCAGAGCAGAGGAAGAGTTGCCTAAGAGGATGAGAGTGGGTGTAATTGGCTGGAATGCCAGGTCAAGTATTTTTATGGCAGGGAAGGAGAAAGAAAGCGGGTAGAAAAGTGTGTGCGGAGCTCGTATCTGAGAAACATAAAGTCGAGCTTGGACCCCGAGTAAGGAATCTAGAGAACGAGCTCTTTGGGATTCAGATAGGAAGATCAGGAAAAGAAAGCTGGATTCCTATCCTCATACTTTCATTTATAATATTTTAGAGATGAGAGGTGATTCCTTTTTCGTCGTTTTTGTTGTTGTTTTTGTTTGTTTGTTTTTTGAAGGGGAATTGAGGTGAGGTCTGTCACCTATAGATGGGAGGCCAGACAGGCCTGCCTCTGTGGTAATAAAAAAAACATCTACTGCATTCTGACATTCTGGGCCCTGTGCCCGACAACCTAGGAACCATATGTGAAAGCTGTCATCGCCCCCCTGAAGCCCCTCAGGACATTAGACTCCTTGACTGCTTGCCCAGAAGACTCTTCTTTCTTCTGCCCTATCCCCCACCCCAATTTGCTCTCTATTGGGCAGCTTCAAACCCAGCGATCTTAGGAAAACAGCTCCAGTCTGTACTCCGGCCTCTGGCTCCTCCTACCTCCCAGCCTCACCTGGAACTCAGTGTCCCGCTGCTGGTCCTCCGGCCCCGCTGGCCTCTCTCAGCTTCGGCAGGGTCTTTGTGTTCCTGTTCCCTCTGCTCAGAACACTTGGTCTCCAGTGGCCCACAAGCTCCCTTCAAGTGAAGGCGGGTTTGTATACTTTCTCCTCTCTCTTGTGCGTTCAGCACCCAGCACAGTCTCTGGCTCATAGTAGGTGTTAATTAAACGTTTGTTCAGTGAATGATGGCACCAGCTAGGAAGAGCCTGAGTAGGACTGACCCCAAGTCTCTGGCCTCAATCCTCGTGGTGGTGACCGATTCCAAAACTGGCAGAGGGAAGTACAGTCCAAGAAGCTCCACGGTCAGGACAAGTGTCTGGGATGTCGGTCAGGGAAACAGTCGCTGTTTTCCCATTTCACAGATGAGATGGCGGTTCAGAGAGGTGGCCAACCAGTTCGGGGTCACATACTGATTTGTAAGAGATCTGAATTTGTCACCCATTCCTCAGCTCTTGCTTTTTCTACCTTCCCACTCAGCTCGGTGCTTACAAATTGTAATGGGGGAAAGGCTTAGGGTAGAAGTCAGAAGAAAAAAATACCATGGAGGAAAAAAAATTGGAAAAAAAAAATTCCCTTGGCTCTGAAACCCAATCGGGGCGGTTGGGGCTGAAACTGTTCCACTCTGGAGGCCCGGGGTGGGTCTTGGGGGTGTGAGCAAGGCTCTCCCCTTCCTTCTCCAGCATGTGGATTCCCTTCCCTTTGGGCAGAGGTGCGCGCTTCTTCCTCAAAGAAGCACCTCCTCAGCTTTCCCTCTTTATTTCTGCTGCCAGCTTTTCCGATGCTTTAGCTTGCGCTGAGCAGAATTAGAGCCTGGGGCCATGAAAAACCATCATGACTTCTCCCCATCGCCACCTTCAAGTACCAGGCAGCCTCAGTTGAAGCACTGTGCAGGCCACTCACATTCTCTCTGCATCTCCTCCCTTCCGACCCGACCCCTTCCCAGCCCCAACCTGCACGTCTTCTGCATCACAGCCCCTTCCTCAGCCTCCCCAGTGTTTCCTTAGGCTACCCGCTCTCTCCCACCACCCCAACCACCCCATCTCAGTGTGATGGAGCTGACAAAGAGCCAAGCCCTCCTCAGGAGTCCATCTCACCCAGTGACCCCCATGTGGGATTGGCCCTTCCGGGTTCATTGCCTGACCGTCTTCCCTTTCGACCCCCCAAAACTCCAGTGCACGGTGGAAAGAGTCAACTTTTAAATGTAGGTGGTTTAAGATCTATTCCGTTTTGAGAATTTGACAGGGTAGCCTTGTCTCGGCTCCCCTGCAGCCGCCCAACCCAAAGGCATGGCTTGGAGTCCTTTCCAGTGGTAAATTGAGTCCCCTTGGCGTCTGCTGGTTTTCTAGAAAACTTTGGTTCCTTCCTGGCTCCTTTCCGGTTTTGACTGTTGTGGTCATTGTTTTAGTTGCTGTTTGTTCTGGGCTTGGCTCTAAGGATGCCGGTCATGCTGGGCTTTTGAACCGATGCTTCATTTTGTTGCTGAACAGACATCCCGTTCCAGGACGATTCTCCCTTTCTTCTGCTGTTCTGGACTTTTTCATATTCTGTCCTCCTTTCTTTTCTAGCATGCTCACAAGTGGCAGTAAAATGTGCTCGGAGCCAGAAAGCCTGTGTTCCAGTCCCACGTTTTTGCCACTTACCAGCTGTGTTTTCCTGGGCCAGTTGCTTAAGCTCTCTGGGTTTTAATTTCCTCATCTGTCTAAGGGAGATGACGAGAATGTCACCTTCCTCGGGATGCTGGGAGGCCTCCATGCTTTAACACATGTATAGTGCTCGTATAGTGACTGCATGCTGAGTGTGAAGCAGTCATTGTGACTGTGGTTGGGACCAATCAGACCTCAAACCTGGAGCTGGACAGTCTCACCTGCACTGCATCAGCAGGGCCCACGGGAGAGGCAGCCACCATACACAGTTCTGATCACAGTGACCCACGACAAATGACTCGGGCTTCAGGCCTCAGTTTCCTTTGCTCCAGCCATGAAGATGCTGCCTTCCCGTATTAACTGCCTTGAACATAGTAGGAGGGCCAGCTGGCCATGGTGACCTTGACTGACCTTTGCTTCTCTTGGATGCTTGTTTCCAGAGTGTTCATGAGCCCACTGGCCCAAGCGAGGGTTATTTGCAGCTGGAGGAGCTGGTGAAGCAGGTGGTTTCTCCTTTCCTGGGCGTCAGCGAGGACCGAGGCGTGTCAGGCGCAATGTACACACTGGGTAAGGGGCACAGCTCTTGAGGTGCCAGGAGCCTAAACAATAACGCTACCAGCTACGTTTTACTGAGCCCCGATTATGTACCAAGCCTTTTGCTTCCGACGCAGGTCTTTGCAAACTTGTGCATGTTAATCACACGTTTCCCAGCTGGCCTGTGTCTTGGAAACCTTCTCCCCACTCTGTAACTCCTCCCCGGGGGCTGATACTGTGTCTCTGGGGTGGTGCTTGTCGGATCCACATCTTTGATCAGTGGCTTTGATCTTTTTCTTGTGCCTGCGATGTTAATTTTCCTGTATCTGATACCAGAAACTGCGTAATGCACTTCCCACCCCCCTTCCCCCCCTCGAATGGAAAAAGTCCCGTGGTGGATTTCCTTTTGAAAAGAGCTGGAAATGTGAGGCCAACTTTTTGTGTGTGTGGTCAGATGAGATGCAGCTGCCACGGCTCCCCACTCCGTTTCTGCAGATACTGCCAGGGCCATCACACCAAGGAAAGGGGCTCCTGGATCTGGGGACAAATCCCACTTGGGGGCCTGTTGTTGATGGCTGTGCAGCTTAGCATTAGTGAGTGTCAGGCTCTGTACCAGACACCTGGAGAGTCTAGACATGACTAGGATCTGTCCTAGTTGGGGAAATAGCTCTATAATGAATGAGGCTTATCCTAAAAGATATTCCTCGGTGACCCTCTGAAACGAAAGCCCCGGAAATGCAGGAAGTTTTTACTTGTTGTTCTACCTCCAGCAGCTGGAATGGTGCCTGGCATACGGTAGGCACGCAAACATATCTGTTAGGTGGATGGCAGGCATCTGTACCCTGAGGCCAGGGTGACCAGCACCCATGGAGAGGTGCAGGGATGGAAACAGAGTCCCTGCGTTTAGAATCTTTTGCCCACGGCCCCCTTTGCTCGAATGGAGTTGGAGCTGAACTTCAAAGAAAGAGGGAGAAGAACAGCCTGCAGCGAGAGTCGGCCCCTTCCTGGGCCTCTGTGCTGCAGAAGAGGGCAGGGCCGGCCACAGTCTTCACGGCCCCTTCATGTTTCTCTGGAGACATCAGCTTAACCACAGCCACCACAAATCGGAGGGTGCTGGCCCCAGCCTGCTGCCTGCCAGGTCCTCCCCTCTCCCTCCCTCGCTCACTCACTCATTCCACCCAGGAGCTAGAACGAGCCAGAGTAGAAACAACAGCTGAAGGAAAGCAGTCTCCTGCCCTCCCCGGCTGTGAGCAGGGCGCCATGGTGCCGTGCCCACCCCGGAGCCCACTGGCTCACCTCGCCGAGGCTCACGGGGTGTGGGGCAGGAGGATCCAGGCAGATGTCAGGACGCTAGCAGGTTAGCTGGGTCTCAGCAGGGATGCCCCCATCGCTGGGCTAGAGCCAGGAACAAGGGTAGATGTGAGGACAAACTCTAAGAGGGATACCTTCAGCTTTCCAGCTAACATGAGAAGAATGCATACTTTTGTCAAATGATAAAGCAAAGGCCTGAGGTTTTATTCTTGTACCAAGGACGATCCTTGCCTCTGGGGTGTTGGGGCAGAAAGGAAAGGAAATAATCCTGTTGTGATTATTTTTTTAATTATTATTTCAGCAATATGTACTGAGACCTTGTCCCAGGCATCCTGTGAAGTGCTGCAAGTACATCCCTGGACAGCCCTGACCTGTCCCTGCCCTCTGGCATGCGTGGTTCTCTGAGGAAGCCACAAACGATAGTGAATGACTCATTGGGGTGCAAGTGCTCTGAGTGGGGAAGTATGGGGGCCGCAGGCTCCCACGACAGGGGAACTTCACTTGCACTGGGAAATCAGGGAAGGCTCCCCAGAGGAAGTGATATTCTGTGATGGGACCAGTAAAATGAATGGCAGACTGTCCCAGAAGCAAAGGGAAGGATCTTTGGGAGGGCTTTGGAGTAGGGGGAGTGGTCAACAGGAGGGCGAGGCATTTGAGGAGCTGAACAAATGTCAGAGTTGCAAAGTGGTTGGCGGTGAGGGAAGCTGGACACATACAGCGTCCTGGGCACTGTGCTGGGTGGGCTGAATGCCATGCCGCGGAGTAGGCACCGTTGTTCCCATTTCACAGGTGAGGAAAACGTGGATTGCGGTCACTCGGCTATTGGAGCCAGACTTCCAAAGCCTTACGCTGTTGGCATTTTACCAGCCGTCCCACCTGCTCCACCCTCTCCCCCACCTGACCCCTGTCAACTCCTGGGAGGTGACTGTGATTTTTGCTGAGAGACAGCTGAAGGGGTGGTGGTCCTTCCCTCTTATTCCTTAGCCTGAGAGATATCTGAGGCCAGACATTTCCCTTCAAACCTCTGGATACTAAAAATCTAAAATTGCCCCAATAGCGCCCTTCCTTATCAAGGACACTTCTTTCCAGATTAAGACGGGACTCTCTGGGCCTCGGTCTTCCCGTCAGTAAAATGGAGACAGTAACATTTATGTGGCCCATGGGAGAGGAACGTCGAGATAACTGGCTATAATAAAGACTAAAATAAAGACGACGGAGATGCCGTGGGCGTGAGAAACCCCTGTGCCCACGAGAGGGCTTCAGCGTGGTCCACTGGGGCCTGACCAGGGCCGGGGGTGCTCAGAACAGCTGGAACAAGCATCTCAAAAGCCACCACTTATCAAGTGACCATCACATTCCAGGTGCTGACCAAGCCTTGGCATACATTCATTTTATTCTGGCACAGCCTGCTGGGGATAGGCACTGTGGTGCCTACCAAACCGTCCCCTGAGGGGTCACATGAGGGGCGTAGGTGACCAGAGCCAGAGAAGTGGTTTTTCTAGGAAGCGCCTCACGTGTTTGACCCCAGGATCCATGGGGAGACTCTCTCTCTCCCCCCCTGCCAACCAGGCCTGTGGGCTTGAGGAATAAGCCTCATTCCCTGGATATGCAAGGCTTGCTTCGGAGAGAAAAGATGAGTCTGAGGCCGTGATGGAGTGAGCGTGCGCATGTCCCCTCCAAAGCCATCACTTTTCTAGGGCATTGGGGGTGAGGAGGAAGATAATGAAATCTGAAATAGGCAGATTTGTCGGAGTCCTGGCCCACATCCTACCTTTCTAGTTCCCACAGTTTCCAAGCCACCACCTCAGCTGCTTACAAGGCCCTGCAAGCGAACACTGGGCGTGCTCGCTGTCTCCCACACAGAAGCCCCGGCCTCCCACACGTCTCTCCCTATTGTGTCTCCCCGGGGAGGGCCTTTTGCCTCAAAATACTGTAACTTCTCCTCCTGACAAGTAGGTATTCATGGGCTTTCAGGTGCTGGAGCCTGGACAGAGACACCCACAAAGGGCTCGGTGTGAGGGGCCACAATGCCCTCACTGTGGCGGCCACTCCGTTGGGGCCCGGCCGGTGAGCCTGGGAGATCAAAGTCCTGGCAATTGAGTCCCCCAACAAAGGGCCAGAGGACTGCCTCACCCAGGCTTTCTTCTCTCTGGAGGTTTGAAAAGAGCTGCCATTGCTGGCTGCACTGCAGACGCATGGATGAGTGCCAGAGCTCAGCAGGCCGCCTGGGGAGTGAGGAAGGGACAAAGGCCCCCCTCACCCCACACCGTGTGAAAGGCGGGAGGAGGCCTTGGAGGTAGGCGCCAGCTGAGGGGGCAGGACCCAGCCCCTCTCCCTGCTCAAAAGGCAAAGGAGGGACCAGTTTTTAGGCCCCAGGAGGTACCCACAGCTTAATCAATCTCATAATGGAGGTTTCCTCTCTGAGTGGCAGGGCTCAGCCTTCCCTGGTGTGAAGAAGAGTGGGGAGCTGCCTGTCAGCTCCAGGCCTGGCCCCAGTTTTAAGGCCTCCCAGAGGAGGCTGACCACACTGGGGACGGAGCCGACATGCTCATCTGGGGGTTGTCTGGAGTCCAGTGGAAGCTTAGCGAGGAAACACTGTCTGCCCAGGGGACCTGACACTGCCTGCCCCTGTGGTCTTGGCTCTGCCCACACCCAGTCTTGGGAACCAAAACGTTCTGCCCAGAAAGCAGAAGGAAGAGCTGTAGGCCTCTCCTATGAGATGAGTCATTGCAGGGAAGGCAGAGAACAGCAGTAAGGAGAGAGGCGGGGCCAGCCTTAGAAGAGGCTTAGAAACTGCAAGGGCCCAGCTTCAGCTGTGTGGCCTGGAGTAAGTTACTTAACGTCTCTGAGCTGCAGAGGACTGAGCATGGAGGAGGAAGAAGCTGCCCTGTCTCAGGGTAGGACGTTGGCAGAGCTGCCACCTGCCATGTTATGGGCCCCAGCTAGAGGTGGCCTGGCCCCTATGGAACCATTCCAGGTGAGGCGTGATCCATGCCTCCCCCTCCCCACCCGGGACCCCAAACCACATCCTGGCCCTTGCCATACTGTACAGTCACAGCCTGGTTATTTGTCAGTCACTTTATACTGTGAGCACATTGAGGGCAGGGAGCATGTGGTTCCCGTTGTAATCCAGGCCTTAGCATTGACCTCTTTGAGTGAGTGGCCAGTCTGGGTTCCGTGTGTCAGCCACTCTCAAAGGAGCAGGCCCATCTGAAATAACCCCTCTGCATGACTTCTCCGAATCCCCAGAGTCCTTTCGTCTACACCTCTGCCCTGGCATTTGCCATGTTGAGCTGTTTTAACAGTTCTTTATGTATGGGTCTCCCAGGTGTCAGAAGCAGGGCCTCTGCTGGTGGCCTTGGGCTTGAGTCCTGGTTTCATCACTGTGACTGTAAAGTTACTTAGCATCTCAAGTTCAAGTTTTGTTTTTGTTTTTTTTTTTAAATTATCTGAAGGAAATCATGTAAGTGAAGCATCTCCTTTTTTGATACAGTACCTAACACAAAGTAGATGCTCAGTGAATGATTGCTCCTAAGACACACTCACTGGGCTCCAGTCCTTGTGGCAGGCCCTATATCAGATTTACATTCCTCTTTCTCAGCAGTGAGCACAGCATTTTGCATGTGGTGGCTCAAGAAGTGTTTGTTGAAGGACAGGGCAGCGTCCTCCAGATCGCCTGCCCTCACCCTGGATCCAGCTCTCCACAGCAGCCCAACTGGCCTCTCACCACATTGCTGCCTGTTGGACCCTTCGAGGTCTTTGAACTGCTGGACTAACAATGTGAGAGAGGTGGACGACTTCCAGGCACCCATTCGAGACACCTTTGCTGGCTCAGTCTACTGGGTTGAGGCCCATGGACATCATTCAATGAATTAATTCTCATTTCCTCTGGAGATGCTGCATGTGTCCACCATGCGCATCTGTCTTTCATGGCCTCAATGAACCCTGTGTCCTGGGCTCGGTCTTTGTTCTAGATCTTTCTTCTTCCTGCACCTGCCCATAGTAAATGCTCACTGAACAGTCTAGCCCCATCTCCTGTCAGGCTGGTTGTCGCCTCTGGGCCACAACATGGGTTTGGCAACCACCATTCTCAAGTGCTTGCTTTTAACAGCAGCGTCACAGAAATGAATTGTTTTCAAGGGCACTTTAAAAGGATGATTCTTTAATGGGGTCCTGCTTCTTTGAACTCTTCCGGTGCTTCTGTTTTAAAATTATTGATTTTTCTGATCATAAAGGTAATGCATGGTTATTGTAAAAATGTGGGGACGTTATAGAAATGTATGGCTTGGAGGGTACGAACACCCATGCTTCAGAGAAAACCTCTGCCACGGTTTGGCATAGATTCTCCTGTCTTGGGTGCTTCTTGGCATTTGTCTCCTATTTACTCTTCTTCATCGATTAGGAGTTTCTGACCCTCACCATTTCCTCCTGAATTACAGCCTTTGCTGGTTTTTCTCTTGCAGCCAGGCGCCACTCCAGGGTCCGGCCCAAGGTCACTCTCCTGAGCTATGCCTCCCCGATGACCACCATCAGCCGGCCACTGAACGAGATGGCCCTGACCCCTCTGACAGAGCAAGAAGGGGAAGCCTACCTAGAGAAATGTGGCAGTGTCCGGCGGCACACAGTGGCCAATGCCCACTCAGACATCCAGCTGCTGGCCATGGCCACCATGATGCACTCAGGCCTAGGCGAGGAGCCTGGCGGAGAGGACAAGTGCCTGCTCCTGCCGCCCAGCTTCTCCCCGCCTCACCGGCAGTGCTCCAGTGAGCCCAGCATCACCGATGGCCCTGATGAGCTGGAGGAGGAGGCAGGGGACGGCCAGGAAGACTCGGAGCTGAACTGTGCTTCCCTCAGCTGAGCGTCCAGCTACCGGACTTCTCAGCTCCTGCCCAGCAACCAGGATGGGGATGGCTCCATCCTGTGGGTCACCAGGGGACTTCCTTTGGGCTGTGCTGCCGTACGTCTTTCCGGAGACTGGCCTAGCCTGAGAGCCCTAGGGGAAGTCCTCTTGTAAACCTGCATTTTCATGAGCGTGATCACCTCTTCACAGCCACAAAGGCCCGGTTGCCTAATATTCACTTTCTGACTTTCGGCCTTGCCTGCCTGGCTTGGATCCTCATCTCCGGGCTTTTCCCCGTCAGATATCGGAGTGTCCAGTGCTCCCAGCCGTTTGTCCCAGTGCCCATGGCGTTACTGTAGCAGCAGGTTGTCTGAGCCACGCACAAAGCCAGCATGGGTGTGTTGGCTTTTGGAGTTTCCCTTTAGGTCCGGTGATGCAGAGGCTTATGGGTAAAAAGATACCTCTCCTCCCCTAGTGTGTGTAGAGTGAAAATAGGCTGCAGCCCCTACCAGGCATGACTCTGGGAAAGTGCCTTCCTTATTCTAATTTCAGAACTACTGGGAAACAGCTGCCCCTCTGGCGGGCGAGTGTCCGTCCTCACCTGTATCCGGATCCTACCTACTGCCTTTGACTTTTGGCTTGGGGGGCCACAAGGCTGGAAAAACCCTGTTTTTGATAAAGCCTCAGCATTTCCCCCTCACACTTTCCCAGGCTCAAGGAACTAACTCCCCCAGTAGAGTAACTGGTGCCTGCATCCCTCTCTCATTTCAGAAACTGTTTTCCTAGCGTGGGTTCAATGGCCAGCTGATACCAACTGATTAGTCTGTTCCTGGATTTGACTTGAATTTTTTAAATGGGCATCATTCCTCCCCCCTAAAAAAAATTGATTTGCAAGTATTTGCACGTAGGGTCTTGCACTACTCTTTTCCAATGTGACGACTTCGTACTAAGAAATTAACAAACCTTCCAGGAAAGGAGACTGGAAGTGGTTCTGGGTGAAAGTGATGCGTGGTGGGCAGGGCTCATAGGCTGCCGTGCTCTGGAAGCAGCTGGATTTGAATCCAGGATGGCCTGTGTTTGTGGGTGTCATGGTTTACAGGAAAAACCGCCGTGAGGTAAGGAGGTTCTGCTTGCCTCATGAGCACAGGGCTGTAGCAAATGGAATGTCTCAGTGCTTTTCAGTGGGAGGAAATAGGGGGAAATGTGGGCAGGACCTTTTGGAGAGATTTTTGTTCTCTGTGACTAAAGAAGTGCCTGGGATTTCTAACGCATGAGGTCTCAGAATGCTGTGGGGGCGGTAGGCTTTGGTACTGTGCTGTCTCCAGGTCTGGGCTTTTTATCTACTGCTGTTTTTGTATTTGCCAGTTAGCCACACTCATAACAGCTCCAGATAAAAAAAAGAGAAGCCTCCCTGGACCCTTCTGGCACCCTCTAGGTTTCCTGTTAGTCTCTGGAAACTTTGTTTATAAAATCTCAAGAGACGTGAGCCAGCTTAGCTTCCGAAGTGGCAGAAGGTGCTGGCTGGGAGAGGACAAGGACAGTTTAAGCTGTTAGCAGGGGATGGGACCTGCTAAGCTCATCTAAGTCTTGACAGCATTTCCCGTCCGGGCGACGATCTGAAATATGACCATTCGTGCTTTTGACGGCCTGTAATTCGGAAATTGTGTTTAAACAAGTTGTTTCATGTCCATCCTTCTAAGAGAGTGATGGAAGAGAAATGTCTGGAGACCTGAGAATTTCAAACGAAAAATAATCTCAGTGTATGTGTTGGATGAAGTCCACAAATTGACTAACGTGCATTCACGAACGGAGCAACATGATGATTTATTTACCCGATGGCTTCTGTCCTTCAGTACACTTACTTAGCCCTTGGGACTAGTATTTATTGATCCAGGCAAAATAATTAATCATGCTTGGGTTTTCTTTTTTAGTTTACAACATTAACAATAGAAGCGTTTTAAAATGACTTTTCCACATACTAGATGCCCCTGATGAGGAGAGCAGTCATCAGTTAAATATGTGAGGTCTTAGATGGAGAATGGGGTTTTCAGGCTGAACCAAGGGAACTGAATTTGCTGGTGACTGTTAAGCAGTTTACAACTTCACCTCTGAAGTACACACCTGATATTTCTACAGTGAATATTTTTAGATTGTACACATACGAATTTTGTTGGTGTTTATGGGCATTTTAGCCATCAGAGCTATCGCAAAAATGATAGCTGTTGTGTTTTTAACCACTCTTTCTCCCCTTTATGAGATGAAGATTCATTTTTGTTATCTAAGCTAGGATCTTCCTGTGGCTGAGGTTTAATGACAGGAAGCGATCAGGACTCTAAACTGAGTGATCTCACAAACCAAAAACCTTTCATGTTGTCGGTTTCCAAAACGGATTCAATAAACATCATTTTGTACACGTTACCTGCCCTGTACCCATGCTGTGTGCCTTGATTGAATTTGCAGGTCCGGCAGTCCATTAAATCTTTATACATGTCCTGTCTTCACACTCTCTGTGCCCGCTTTTCCTGCCTCCACTCCAGGGTTAGGCAGCAGCCCACCTCCGCCAATCTCCAGTGGGTTTTCTTTGCCATCCTTGCCTGGTTTGCCAGTCATTTCCAGGAGGAACAACCTGTCTGCGGCACTTGGAAAACACCACACAAAGTGTGCGAAGGCAAAGCCTCTTCTAAAACCAGCTTGGTGATTCCCGGAGTGTTTGAGCTAGAGGGAACGCTTATCGTATTTACTCTTGGACTCTCTCTCATATATTTCCATATGGTTCTGTTTGGCTGAAAGAATTTATGGTATTTTACCTTTGAAGGAGGGCCGGAGCAGCATAAACCTGAGACCTCTGAAGGCATTGTAAGCACATTTAAAGAGGTGTGACCTGAACCGATTGAAGATTCAGTTCAGGCGGTAAAGGAGAGTGTGTACATTTTTGTTGTGTCTTCAGAGACTGTCATTATGGGAAATAGCCATGGAGCGTTTGGCACCACCGTTTCCACTCATCCACCCATCCATCATCTGCACCTCACGTATTTGCAGAGCTGCCATTGTGTATAGGCACTGTCATCGGTGCTGGGGTTACAGTGATGGACAAACAACCAAGGTGCCTGCGCCTTTGGCGCTTACAATCGAACAAGGTGTCGGGGATGCTGACAGTCGGGTCGACACAGGCATTTCAAATACTGAACAATACCAGATGAAATAAAATGGCAAAAGGCAGTGACTTAGAGGGTGACGAGAGGGCGACCTTAGGTATGAGGTGGCCAGAGAAGTTCTCTCCAACACCGACGAGCTGAGACCTGAATGATAAGGAACCAGCCTTATAATCTGCTTTCATTTTCTATCACTGCCTTAACAAATTACCACAGATTAGTAGCTTAAAACACACACATTTATTATGTCACTGGGACATGGGCTGGAAGTCTGATGTGGGTCTCTGGCTCCTGGCTCTTTTCTCTATCTTCAGAACCAGCAGTGGTGGTTTGAATCCCTCTTGTATCATGTCACACCAACCTACATTAGGCCTCCCTCTTCCATTTTTAAGGGCCCTTGTGATTTCATCCGGCTCACCCAGATAATCCAGGATAATCTTTATCAAGATTTCTGTGCCCACTGTGGGCACTGTGTCTGCTGCCCGCTCTTCTGATGTTTCTCTCAGAGAAAGTCCAGCCACATGATGTGCTGGGGACCCAGGGAAGGTGGGACTGTTTCAGGCAGGTGGGTGCTGGTCTCAGTGTCCAGGGCAGACTGGCTAGCCTGGCCCAGAGGCCTTGGAGCCTGAGCTCCACCCACCATGGCCCAGACTCCTGCCGTGACTATGATTCTTGAGTCCTTTGCTCACATCTTTCTCTTGTTTCTCATCTCACATGCCTGTCAGGCTCTCATCATCCCTTGTCTGGACTTCTACAACTTGGTACCACCTGAATTTCTCTGCAGACTTCATCTCTCCCTATGGATGTCCCTAACTGATTTTTCTAAAATGCAATCCCTGCTTAAAATTTCTCCCTGTCTCCCAAAAAAATGTATATACCTAAACTTGATTTCCAAGTCCTTCCCAAGCTGACCACCCCTGCATTTCCAGCCTCCTTTGCTGCTCTCTGTTCATTGTTCCAGAGAGCTGCCTTCCGCCTCCACACCCTCCCTCCCTGCTCCTGCTGCTCACTCTCCCTTCTCCAGGTAGAAGGAGCCACTTCTGCCTCTACACGTTCTCAGGCGCTGTCTCAGGAAGACAAGGCCATGTAAGGTTTCTGTTTACATGCCTAGGGCCTAGCCATACAGGGAAAATTCAAAGTCATGTACATTGAACAAATTAATGGGATGGTAATGATTCTGATCTTCACTTCTTTCCTCCCAGGTATTTACAAAAAGGACCTTCATTTCTTTCCTTCCTCCATAGCCAGGGACCTCCCCCATGCTGCTCTCCAAGCATATTCCAACGGAGGCCGTGTGGCCAGGTCCGAGCCCTTCTTGGAGTCCCTCCCCTTTCTGCTCCAGACAGTGGCTGCCATGTCCCTGCAGAGAGCCAACCCCTTCACAGGGCTGCTGCTTTGCTCCCGAGTCAGCAGCCCCTTTCTTGATCTGTGCCTTTTCTGAGAAATTCCTTTGGGGCCTGGAACATGTGCCCGAGGGAAGGAAAGAGCGTCCCATTGTTTGTAGCAGGGCCATCTCTTTGAAGAAATCCTCCGGCCAAGAAGTAAGAGGGAGTGTCTCCGGCCGTGTGCTCAGGCCCGAACTTCCTTGTCCTCACAGCCCGCTGCTTCTCAAGGCAGATTCAGATTCTGCTGTCCCAGTATGCCAAGCCCTATGGGGGCGATCCTCGCAACAGCCTTGTAAGGCGGGTATCACCCCCATTTGGCAGATGGGGAAACTGAGGCTTGGGCTCTTTAAATGATGGAGCTGGGACTCAACCCCAAGTTCTTTAATCCCAAATCCAGTGGTCAGACCTCTCTGTTCCATGAGGTACCCTGGCTTGAAGAAAATGAGAAAGCAGAACAGAGCAGCCAGGGGCACAGTCTCCTCAGCATTCTAGGAAGTGAGCCAATTTCAGGATTTCCAGAAAACTGGAGGAATGAAACTGCCTCTCTTGCTCTTCTCCAGACGCTTCTAGAAAACCTCACAGGGTAGAGAAGAGGGAGGACTCTTGTGTCCTGGACAGCAGATTTCTTAATGTAGAAAAGATTTTAGTGTTTTTTTTCCCCCTTTTAAAATGAGTATGTTTAAATTTGGCTTTAAAAAGTAATAATTTAATAAGTTCAATAATCATTTAACAAATAATACAATTAATAAACTTATTTTTAGAATCAATATTCAATTTAAGATACAAATTAAAAAACCTTTTTTTGGCTTTTAAGTTCAGCTTAAAATTTTATTATTCTATTTATAAGTCTAGCTGATTTTTAGCAATAATTTTGGAGGAGACTTGAATAATACTTGGACCTAGTTACAAACTTAGCACTTCAAACGCTTTTAAATGCATTTATAAATTTAATATATTCATTTCATTTTTAAGTACTTCAGTTTTTCTGACAGCATGCCAAATCTTCCCAAATCCTAAATTCTTAAAGAAACTAATAAACTTATACCTAAGAGAAACTTTAAATGTTCTTATGTTCTACTTAAACTTAGATGTCACTACTTTTTTTTAAAAAATCACAAATCTGAATTAATTACTCAACTATACATTTTAAAGGAGTTATAAAACTGACACTCTATAGGCCTTATTTAATTAAATATCGTGTCTAAAACATCAGATATGCACAAATTCCTTTCTAACATAAAAACATTGGTGCGATAAGCTTTGTTTCTTTTAGAGACGATAGCTTTGTTTCTTTTTGTTTCTTTGTTTCTTTCTACACTTAAGCTTCAGCTTTCTGGTATGTTGGTTGTTAAGCTGTTGCCTCTCAGCTCCAAGCTTCTGTATTTTGGGATGCTGGGGCTGGCGTTCTACACAGCACATTGCTGCTTCCTTAGTTGGGCCCCTGTTAGCTCTGCCAGTGGTGGGAGGGTAGGGGGCGCTCAAGGGAGCCTGGGAGGCCGACGGAGATAAGCGCTGTGTTTGTCGGCATCACCTGGCAGGGACCGTTGGGTCCTGGAGCAGCAGCTAGCTCCCATTTGCAGTTTTCCACCATTCCAGAACCAGTCTCGACATCTCCACTGGGAGAGAGTAGCACCAGCTGGCCTGGGCCCCGCCTCAGGAGTCTGAAGCTCAGCTCTCAGGCCCCTCCTCCGACCCTTTAAATTTCAATCACCCACTGCTCTTCCTTTTTAACCCCCACTTCTGTGGTGGCAGCTGCTCCTTGTAGAACCACTCCAGGGATTCCTCTGTGTCCCCTCTTCACCATTTGTCCAATACCTGATTAGTAATTCTGGATATTAAATTCTCTCTGTTAAAATGATGGATGTGGCTTTTGTCCCCTGACTAGACTCTAATTGATGAACCAGGGTTGAAAACTGCACACCCGCTAAAGACAATAACCAGGCCAGTTAACTGAGGTTGCTATTACCAGAAATTCCTTCAGATGTGAGACCCAGAGCTGCAGACATTCAGAGTAATTCTTCTCACCCTGACCCATCTAAGGAAACAGAATATTTCAAGTAATGTTGGTGTTTGCTCCTCGGCATCTGTGAGGTTACTGGACACTCAATGCTTGTCAATATCCCCAGAAGACACTGGATGCTATTTGCAATTACCAATGGCTTCATAACCTAAAAAAGTGATCCTGTAGGCAGTTGTCTTGCATAAATATCTAGTTCTTCAGTCTACCTTCAAAAGTATGCCTTTTTCACCAAATCACTCATTAAATTGGTTCTTAATTTCCTTGGTCTTTTGGCCTACATTTAATGATCTTTGAGAAGAACCCTAAGCAATGTAAATATATGGACCCTAATAGGCTCCTGGGTTCTTTCATATTCTCAGGACCACATAACTTTTAAGAAACACCTAAACTTCAGGAGGATATCAGTTAAATATCTCAGGTAGCTTTGTCCAGGGTCCAACTTATGAGGTCACTGCATTCTCTGTAGACTGAACCGGGATCCAGTCAACAGGAACTTTTGCTGCCCACTCTAAGGGCTCAAAAAATGGAAATAGCATAAGGCTCCGCTTCTGGCCATAGGAGAATGGCTTGTCTCAGATTAATCTTCCTGCCAAAATAATTATAAAAGGTGGACGAAATATAAAAAGCAACTGTCTGAAGGAATTGGAGAGTGCAGTGCAGGTGGGATCTGAGTGGCTGTGGTCCCTAAGAGAAGGAAAATGTTCTAGGCAAGCTTCACATTCATCCTGGTTTTTCCTGAGGGCATTTTTCCAAATCACTGGTGTGGGTGGAAGGTGGGAAGAATGGTGATAGTAGAGAGCAGCAGTCTTCCTGGGATGAGAACAGAGTTTAAGGCTGCCAGAAGAGCTGGAAATTGAAGGG